GATTGCAATCCTTAAACTTTTCCAAAAAACTGAAGAGGGGACACTTCCTAACTCATTCTATGAGACTGGCATAACTCTAATGCTAAAATTGAAGATACGAACATCCTATAAGCCAGAAACTCCACTCCCATGTATATACCCAACAGCAAAGAGTACACTGTGTACCAAGAAACACATACAAGATTGGTGAGAGGGAACATTCCTATCTTGTTCCCAGGTTTAGGGGAAAAGCATTTAGTTTGTCACCATTAAGTATAATTTTTCGTAGATTTTCTTTATAAAGTTGAGGAAGTTCACCTGTAATCCTAGATTGCTGAGAGTATTTATCATGTGCTGGTGTTGGATTTTTTCAAATGTATTTTCTGCATCTACTGATAAAATGATACGATTTTTCTTCTTTAGTCTACTGATGTGATGAATTTAATTTATTGATTTTCAAATATTGAACCAGCCTGGCATACATAAAAATAAATCTCACATGGTTGTGGTGTATAATTCTGGTTTGACTTGTTGATATTTTGGAATAGAATTGAAAGTCTAAAAGTAAATACATACATGTAAGGTAACTTGATTTTTGACAAGGATAATACAACCATTTAACAAGGAAAGAAGAATCTTTAACAAATGGTGCTGAAACAACTGATTATCTGCATGCGAAAGGATGAAGTACCTCTCCTTCACAACATATACAGAAAATAATTCAAAATGGATATAAAAAAAAACTTAAAAAGTAGACCTAGGATAATAAAAAATATAGCAGAAAACATAGATGTAAATTTTTTTACCTTGGTTTTGGCAATGCTTTCTTAGATATGACACAAAGAACACAAGCAACAAAAGACAAATTAGATACTTTGGATTTCTTCAAAGCTAAAAATTTTGTGCCTCAAAAGTCAAGAAAATGATAAATAATTATTCTACAGAGGTAGAGAAAATATTTGGTAGCCATATATCTGATAAAGATTTAATATCTAGAATAGGAAAAGAACTACATTTCAACAAAAAGACAACACACTCAATTTAAAAATGAGCAAAGGACTTAACTACATATTTCTCCAAAGAAGATACACAAATGGCCAATAAGCACATGAAAAGATGATCAACATTATTAGCCATTAGAGAAACACAATTCTAAAGCACAGTGTGATACCACATCATGCCCACTACATAGCAATTATCAGAAAAACAAAAAATCATAAGTGTTGTAGAGGATGAGGAGAATTTAGAACCTTGGTCCATTGCTGGTGGGTATGTAAATTGGTGTGTCAAAGTGGAAAAACAGTTTGATGATTCCTCAAGTTAAATATAGAATCACCATCCAAAAAAAAAACTTACTGCCATCAAGTCAGTCCTGACTCATAGTGACCCCTTCCTTGGGTTTCTGAGGCAGTATCACTACGGAAGTAGATTGCCTAACCTTCCTTCTGAGTGGCTGGTGGGTTTGAATCTCCAGCCTTCTGGTTAACAGTCAAGTGCCTTAGCCACTACGCTACCAGAATCACCATGGAACCTAGCAATTCCATTCCTGTGGTTACTTCCAAAAGAATTGAAAGCAAGGACTCAAACAGATACTTATAGACCAGTGTTTACTGTATTATTTATAGCAGCCAAAAGGTGGAAACAGTCAAATTGCCTTTAACAGATGAGTGGATAAACAAAATGTGATACATACATACAATGGAATATTATTCAGCTGTAAGGAGAAATGAAGTTCTAACATATGCTATGCTGTGTATGAAACTTGAGAACATTAAGCTAAGTGAAATAAGTCAGACACAAAAGGACTGATATTGTAAGATCCCATTTATATGAGATATCTAGAAAAAGCAAACGCATAAAGAAAAACTTATTAATGGTTACCAAGAGCTGGAGGGAGGATACAATGTGTAGCTATTGGTTAAGGGGTACTGAGTTTGTTTTGGGCAATGAAAAACTTTTGGAGATAAATAGTGGTGATGGTTGCCCAACATGGTGAGTGTACATAACGTCACTAAAGTATACACTTTAACATAATTAAAATAGCAAAACTTTTGATATATGTATTATACAATTTGAAACATTAAGTGAAAAGATAACTTACAGAATAGTAGAAAGTGCTTGGAAATCATATATCTAATGGGACTTTTATCTACAATATACAAATATAAAATACATATTAATAATAAACCATTTTTTTAAGGGAAAGTCATCTGAACATATATTTCTCCAAAGAAGATACACAAATGGACAAATAGTAAATGAAAAGATGTTTCACATCATTAGTCATCAGGCAAATGCAAGTCAAACCACAGTGAGATACTAGTTCACAGTCACTGGACAGCTGTAAGCAAATGACACACAATAAAAAGTGTTGGAGAAGATGTGGAGAAATTAAAACCCTCATATATTGTTCATGAAAATGCAAACACATGCATCATCCACAGTCTGCAGCAGTCTAACATTTCCTCAGAAGTTTAAACACACAGTTCAATATTACCCAGCAATTCCACTCCTACATACAATCAAATAATGAAAATACATGTCCACACAAAATCTTATACAAGAATGCTCATAGTAACATTATTCTAACAGCCAAAAAAGGGGAAACAACTAAAATGTGCATCATGAAAGGGAGGTCTGCTGGCATAGGCCCTAAGGCATTTGACTGCTAACCAGAAGGCTGGCAGTTCAAACCCACCAGCCACTCCTCAGAAGGAAGATTGGGCAATCTAAATCCATAGAGATAATGCCTTGGAAACCCAAGGAGGGGTCGCTATGAGTCAGGTCCAACTTGATGGCATGAGTTTGGTTTTTTTGGTATATAAAGAAATATTATTTGGCAATAATAAGGATTAAATACTAATACATGGTATGACATAGGTAAATCTTGGAAATAACATGTTTATTGCAAGAAGCCAGTCATAAAGAGCACGTATTGGACAATCTGACACAAAATGTTCAGAATAGGAAGTCCATAGAGACAGAAAGTGGATTCGTGGTTGCCCAGGAATGGAGGTCTTAGGGAGAAAGGGTGCATGATTGCTTACAGGTACAGTTACTCTGGGGCATAATGAAAAGTGATCTAATATTGATTGTGATTATGATTACACCTCTCTGTCTATTTACGAAAAAACATTGAATTGTACACTTTAAATGGGTGAATTGTACAATATGTGGATCATATCTCAATAAAGCTGTCATGGTAAAAACAGGCAATACAGTCCAAAGTTTATTAGCAGTCACCAGAGGCTGGGAAAGAGTAAGGAGAGTCAGAGTCATTCCTTGCAGGGCACTGAGTTTCTATGAAGAGTGATGGAAAAATACGAAAATAAATAACAGAAATGGCCACACAACATGATGAGTATAATTAATGTCACTGAGTTGTAAAGTAAAAAATGAGGAAATGGCAAATGTTAGGATAAATATTTTTACCACAGCTCTTAAAAACAACTAGTAAATGGTATCTGTTAATACAAAAAAAAAGAAGGTAAAACTAAAATATAATGTTAGAAATATGACAGTGGTTAAGTAATTCCTGGTAAGAGATTGACAGCGGTACATTTTCAGGGGTGCTGAAAATGTTTTACTTCTTCATCTGGGTAGTGAATACAGCTGTTTGCCATAATTCATTGGGTGGTATGTGTGTGTTTTGTAAGTTTTTCTGTATATGTGTTATGTTTTGGTATCTTAAAATAATTCATTTTAAATACTTATAATGAAATACCAATACACACCCAGCACAGTATCTACAGTTATGATAATCACAAGCTCTGCCAACAAAAAGTTTTTCCAAAAGTTTCCAACAGATTCATTTAGCATAATACATGATGTTAACAGATACAAAGTATGTATACTCTTTCTTAGTCCCATTTAATGGGAATATCCATTCATTTGGCTGTGGAAAGATTGTGCTTCATCATGGAATGCCATCCTAGAACTGCTGGAATGGTCATGAGGACATACATACAATTCCACATCAAAAAATCTGAAAACCAAAATACAGTCAGCAATGAGTGTTTACAGTGGGGAATTGTTGACCTGAACCAGACAGCAATAAACATGAATACTTCATAGCTATATACATTAACATGAATAAACATCAAAATATAGCATTGAGAAAAATAACCAAGTTACAGAGAATATATACATTGTAAAAAGGTAATTAAAGGCAAAAAAACACAGATTATATGGTGTATGCATATGTGCTTAATCATAAAACTACAAAGAAAAACAAATGTTACATAATAGTCATGCTAGTGGGGGAAAAAACTATGTGGTCAGAGCAAGGCACACAGGGGTCTTCTGAACGATTGAGTCATATACTATTTAAGCTAATCATGTACTATTTAAGCTAACTGGTGGGCATATGAGAATGAGAATTCACTTTATTGTCATTCTCTAAATAGCACATATGTTTTATATGCTCTTTTAAGTAAGATATGTTTACAACATAAATAAATGAATGAATCCAAACATACCCACAGCAACACTCTGATAGATACAACATATGGGTCCTATCTCATTCCCTGAAGTCAAAGACAACATGGCAGTTGAAGGCACTGATAGTTATCACCAACCTACTTTCTTTTTTTTTTCTTTTCCTATTTTATAGAAAATACTGTGTTTCTTCCATGAAGGCTGAGCTCAAATTGGAAATTGTGGGCTCCATATCAGGACAGGACCATGCTCACAGTTATGGCTGGGAATGGCAGATCCAACTTACACCTCATCCAAGGAAAAATACCAACATTAGTGCATCCATGGATCCCACATGGTCACTCTGAATGCAGGTATCTCTGATACTGCTATGCCTCAGTGAGCCACACTGAAGAGGACAGCTGGGAGGTTGGACAATTGCCCCATCTTGTCTCTAACTAGGAGATCTGGGATTGAGTCCCAGGAGACACTCCACATGAAAAGTTAACAGCCTATTCTGGCTCCTGTGCCTGAGATGTAGCTCCAGTTCTAGTTTTCAATCTACGCTGCTGCTGCAGAGAGGAAAGGTCTCTGCAGTTCCAGCCATGTCTTCTCGGAGAGTCAAAGGGATGGTGCATCCAGTCTCCATGGTAGTAGTGGCAGGGTCTGAGTTTGATCAGCATCTTCAGGTAAGAATTGAGGCATGGGGATGGGGATGCAGAGCAGAGTCTATTTAAGCATGTACATGTTACGTACATACACATGTACACACACCCACACACCGTAAAGCAGATCCATTTTTCCCCCTTTCCCTCTTCTTTTTCTTCCTCCCTCTTGTCAATTTCTTCCTGGCTCTTCCAATCACCATGAGGAGTATGGTGTTGTGGTGCTCATCAGGTCTCTAATGGTCCAGCCTGAGGTCATTGTGGAGAGTAGCTCTCAGACCACCCTCTTCCAATTCTCTTCAATGACCAAGACCTAGCAACTGTGTAATAACATAGCACAGTTCATCCTCAGTCTGCTAGGACTGCTTCTCAGAATCACTCTCAGGCACCACACTAACTCAACAACCATAATTTATTCCCCTACATACTCTGGTAGCATAGTGGCTAAGGCACTTGACTGCTCACCAGATGGCTGGCGGTTCAAACCCATCAGCCACTCCTCGGAAGGAAGGTTGGACGATCCTACTTCCATAGTGATACTGCCTCGGAAACCCAAGGAGGGGTCGCTCTGAGTCAGGGCTGACTCAACGGCACATAACAACAACAACAACAACATATATACACAGTTTACTACACCCATTCACATCTTTTCTTGTTTTAAAGACTTGAGCCAGTGAATAACTATATAAAATACACTTGTTTATTCACATTGTTGTTGTTGTTATGTGCCATCAAGTAGGACCCGATTCATAGTGACCCTTCTTTGGGTTTCTGAGGCAGTATCACTACGGAAGTAGATTGCCCCATCTTCCTTCCGAGGAGTGGCTGGTGGGTTTGAGCCGCCAGCCTTCTGGTTAGCAGTCAAGTGCCTTAGGCACTATGCTACCAGAGCTCCTGTTTATTCACATTATGTATTTTATAATACTTAGCTCTGATCATTATATTATTTGAACAAGTGTTCATGTGATTTACAGATGCCAAAACAAAGACTTTGTCATCAATAGGTTTTAGTATACTTATAAACATTCAAAGGGAGTGATGATAATGATTATGATGACTTGTTATGATACTTCACCATTTACAAGCACAAACCTCAGACACTGGCCAGGATACAGTAATAGAGGACAAGGTGTCACATTTTATTAACAACAACAACAATAATAATATTTAGTACTTACTATATGCTGGCCATGTTCTATTTAACATCATTGTCTAATTTGATCCTCATAACCACTCTATACAGTAGACATTATTATTATCCTATTTAAACAAATGTGGATGCTGAACCCCAGAAATCTTAAGGGATTTTCTAAGTAATACAGAAAGTCTGACTCCAAGGGGATATTTTTAACCAACAAGTTAAAAATGTCACACTCAATAAGTGTGACATTAACACATGTAGCTACTGACTGTTCATTGCATTTGTTCCTTCACATCATCAGACAGGGAAGTTGGAATGTCTCGTGTTGATTGCACGTCATTAATCATGAAGAAACTTCAACTAATTCCAGCATTTCTCCCCTGAACAAACCAGTGCGGTAGGGTTACTATCTACATCGTATAGATAAGGAAAACAAGGCTCAAAGGAGGTAAATATCCCCCAAAGTTAAAAAGGGATATGTGCAACAGAGCTGAAAAGTACATTGCCCAATGTTTTTCTTTGGCTTTTAGGTTCCAGATTCACATTTCATCAACTATTGCTGATAATGATAATGATTATTATTACAGTTATTGAAGGACTGCCCTCCATAAATATTCAATTACAACTTTGTGATTCTATGAAGTAGGTACATAGTGTAAAAGTTAGGAAGCAAATATCCAGATATGTTAAATAGTTGACCAATATCAGACAGTGAAGGGATTCTTAAGATGAAAGCCCATGATCTAAAATCAAAGATGCTAGTGTTGCGTTTTAAAGATGCAAATGAAAATGATGTATTCTTAATTCATAAAGATTTTTTCAGTTTTCAAAGTGCTCATATTCATACTAACTCTTTGGAATTGTATTTAATGACAAAGGAGGCAGAGCAGCCAGCACACTTTGAGAGCTCTGAGTTTCAGCTGGTTCTTCTCTGAGGGAGTATGTCCTCTTCCATCTCCTACAATTCACACACAGAGCACTCACGTGAAAACCAACTAAGAACCCAGTATTGCCCACTAAATCCAAGTATGAGCTCCACAATAAGGTGACGAGGTTGAAACAGTTATTCTAAAGTTTTGGGTTTCTGTTTTTAAAAGGAATTAAATCTTGCATAATTATTTCCGTTATAAACCCCAGTTCAGTCTCAGTTATGTAATCTACATAGATAGCTTTTCTATTACAGGAATCAAGAACCCAAACAACACTCCCACCAAGATGCTTTGTGGTCTTAATCCACACACTTCATATTTGTACATATTTGCACACCTAGCCATACTACCACTGTAGTATCACTGTGACCTCCTCATGGAATAGAGAAAAACAGATCAAAGTGTGGTGTCTAATTTTCAGAGGCTGGTTTTATTTAAGCAAGATACTGCACTAATTTCTCTACCTTCCAAGGAAATTAGAAACCAAACCAGCGTCTCTGACTTCCTCTTTCTGGGCTTTTCTGAGCAGCCAGAACATCAGTTTCTCCTGTTTGGGCTCTTCCTGGGTATGTACCTTGTCACCATGCTGGGGAACCTGCTCATCATCTTGGTCATCAGTTCTGACTCTCACCTCCACACCCCCATGTACTTCTTCTTGGCCAACTTATCCTTCATTGATACCTGCTTCACCTGCACCATTGTCCCCAAGGTGCTAGTGAATATCCAGACACAACATTATACCATCTCCTACACTGGGTGTCTGATGCAGATGTACTTCTTCATGGTGTTCGCTCTGCTGGATGACTTTCTGCTGGCCATGATGTCATATGACCGCTATGTTGCCATTTGCCTTCCTCTTCACTACGCTACAGTCATGTGACCGCAGTGGTGCCTGCTACTGGTAGCTGTATCCTGGCTCTGCTCCCACCTCCTGGCATTCTCACTTATTTTCCTGATGTCTCAATTCTCCTTCTGTGCCTCCCATTCCATCTCACACTTTTTCTGTGATCTTCTTCCACTCCTCAAGCTTGCCTGTTCTGACACCCATATCATTCAGGTTATGATGTTCATTGAAGCAGCCCTCTCAGGTGTGGCTCCACTCATCTGTGTCCTGACATCTTATGCTCACATCATCCACACCATCTTCAAGGTCCCCTCTGCTGGGGGGAAGCAAAAAATCTTCTCTACCTGTGGCTCTCACCTAACAGTGGTCACTCTCTTCTTTGGAACTCTCTTTCTGGTCTATTTTCAGCCATCATCTTCCTACTCACCAAATATTGGAATAGTGGCATCTGTGATGTACACCATGGTCACCCCCATGTTGAATCCTTTTATCTACAGCCTGAGGAATAAGGACATGAAGAAGGCTTTATGGAGAGTCCTTGGCTGTGGAAAATGCTCTACCCCATAAAGAGTTCTTCACCAGACAAGAAACCCAGGCTTTTTGAAATGCCTACCTCCATGAACTTCTCCATTATACTTCTGAAAGCTTAAATTCATAGCAGGATGGATGCTGGACATCACAAGCAGGTTTAACAAAAAGAGGATGCTTTACATGGCAGGATGGAAATAGAAGCAACTAGCCAAGGACAGAGCTGCAGCCTGGAAGGAAAAATAATAGTCAGGAATCCCTAACAGGGGGACTTGATTTAGTAGGTATAGGTATCCAAGCAGATTCAATACAGAGATAGGAACCACTGAAAGAATGACATCAGACAGATTCTAGAAAGAACTCATTAGTCTATGACTAACACGTCCCATCCAACTACAAGAAATGCTAACAAGACCTGGGAAAGGCCAAGTCTTGTTTAAGTTTCGGGGGCCATTTTTAAGCCTAGCTTTGGAAGAAACTCACTCATAAGAACTGATCTCCACATGAAGATCTGATATCCACATGGATCTCCACATGAAGAAGTCATAACCAATAAGATACATTACTTGTTGGAAGTAGGTTGCCTAACCTTCCTTCCAAGGAGTGGCTGGTGGCTTTGAACTGCCAGCCTTTTGGTTAGCAGTCAAGTGCCTTAGGCACTATGCTACCAGAGCTCCTCCCTTGTTGAAATTAGCAGGAATAATTCGGAGAGGGAAAAGAAGCGCAGATTGATCAAGGAACTGGTCCAGTGTTACACAACTGGGATTAGCTCTGGCAGTGAATGTTTATTAGTTATTATGGCATATATTTTACTCTTTAGTTTTTGAAGCCCAGTTTCTTTTGTTTCTCTACTGAAAAACAATACACACTTATTATAGCAAATTAAAAAAAAAAAAATAGACAAGATAAAGGGAAAATAATACTCACCATAACTCCATTTAACAACCACCACCATTAATGTTTTAAATCATTTCCCTCCTGTATTTTTCTAATTGCTTTTGTCTTTTTCTTTATTGAGAAAATTTTATAGGTACAATTATAAGATATATTCCCCTTGTTCTTATAACATGTTCTCTCTATACTTTTATTAACTCTTCATGAATATTTTGTTCTCTAAGTTTACATCAGAAGAAAGGTTTATTATTGTTGGATAATTAGGTTCCTTTTTTCTTTTTTTTTTTTTTTTTTTTAATTTTTTATTGTGGTTTGGGTGAAGGTTTACAGAGCTAAACAGTTTTCCATTAACAATTCATACACATTTTGTTTCATGACATTGATTGCAATCCCCATAGTGTAACAGCACTCTTCACACTTCCACGTGTTTACCATCTCCTTTTCCCCTATCCCTTCCTGACTTCTGAGCATTATCCTTGGGCACATGCTGCCCTTTAGTCTCATTCTAATGAGTGCATTATGTGCCTAGCATTATTGTTCACCATGTAGGCCTTTCTATTTTGGCTGAAAGTTGAGCCACAGGAGTGAGTTCAGTTCCAGGCTTGAAAAGTATCTAAGGGACTATGGTGTGGTAAATTATATGGTATAGCTTTTCTAGCCATAGTCTTTGTAAACTCCATGGTGGAATTTGCTGTGAGCAACTAAGTTAGCTCCTGATTGTTAAACTTATCCACCTGGGGTATTTCTGTTGAGCGTAGCACGAAACAATTTTCTGGGAAGTTCGCTCTCTCTCTCTCAGGTGTGTGGAATTCTGGTGTTGGGACTGGTTGGTTTTGCCACTCTGATGGGCTTAAAGTGAGCCTCCTAGAGGCAGAGAGGAGAAATATTTCTCACCACTGGCTGAGAGAGTGACCCCTGGCTGAGAGATTGACCCGTTACTGAAAGACAGCAGCAGTGGAACCAAGAGACATGAGACAGAGCGGCAGACTTATCTGTCCCACAGAGACAGAGGCCAGACCAAAAGGCCAAGGGCCACAGAGGTGTGTCTAAGGGCACAGCAGAGGGGAGACTGTCCTGACCAAGGAATCCTCATGCATTCCTGAATTTGAGTTGTAATCTCTTGCTTCTCTAATAAACCCCACAATTTGTGAGTGGTGTCTGCGAGTTCTGCATGGTCACTGCAATGAATTGTCAAGCCCAGCTGAGAGGGAGTGAGTGCTGTGGGAGAGACGGTTGATGTCACGGTTGGTAAAAGGGCTGGAGGGAAGCAGCATGTCTGGCCTCGTAGGAAAGGGCTTTGGGCTGCTGATAGTGATTCTGTCCTCCTCTTATGGGATTAGAGGGGATCAGAAGATCCGGCCTCCTTGCCTCTTTGGCAGAGCCATATTCTCAGGGTTCCAGTAGTCTCTATCAGACCAGGTCTTTTTATGATTTTGAGCTTTGTTCCACATTTTTCTCCTATTCTAACCAGGACCTTACTTTCTATTGTGGGTGGGAGCAAGAAATCTGGAGCCAGACTGCATGTTTTAGATCCCAATTCTGCCGATTGCTGTCTGTGTCATCTTGATCAGCTTACTTAGACTTCCTGTACTCTTTTCTCTTGTCCCTAAAGTTTAGTACCTGCCACATGAGTTTGTGGTGAGGATTAGATTAATTGGTGTTTCTGGAGAGTTTGAAAGAAAGTTCAGTATTGGTAAGGTATTATATAAATGTGTGTTGATTAAAGAACAAGAATTGGAGGAGGAAGCCAAGAAGGACAATAAGTTTCTTTTTTCTTATAAGCCACCCACTTTGCAGTACTTTGTGGATGCGGCCCTTAGAAACTAATACACAACAGGACTGATGGATCATATTATTATTAGGTGCCATCGAGTCATCTCCAAGTCATAGTGATCCTGTGTCCAGCACAATGAAACACTGCCCAGTCCTGTGCCAGCTCCACGATCCTTGCTATACCCGAGCCCATCGTTGCAGCCCCTGTGTCAGTCCATCTTGTTGAGGGCCTTCCCCATTTTTGTAGACCCTCTAATTTACCAAGCATTATATCCTTTTCCAGGATATCATGACAACATGACCAAAGTAGGTGATACAAAGTCTGGCCATTCTTGCTTCCAAAGAACATTCTGGCTGCACTTCTTCCAGGACAGCTTTATTAGTTCTTTTAGTAGTTCATGGTACTTTCAGCATTCCTCACCAACACAACTGAAAAGCATCAACTTTGCTTTGGCCCTTATTCATTGTCCAGCTCTCACATACATGTGAGGTTTAATATGCATGGATCACATGGTAGGCCTATATATATGCTTTTGTAAGAAACTGCAATCTGTCTTCCAAAAATGACTATAGATTTTTAATTCCCACCAGCAATAAATGAGAGTTCCTGTTGCTGTACATCCTCATCAGCATTGGGTGTTGTCAGTGTTTTGGATTTTGATCATTCTAATAGCTGGATAGTAGTATCTCATTGTTTTTAAGTTTGTAATTTCCTAATGACATGATATTAAACATCTTTTCAAATGCTGATGAGCCATCTGTATACCATCTTTGGTGAGGTGTCATCTCAGGTTTTTTGCCCATTTAATAATTAGGTTATTGTGTTATGGTGTTTTTAATTTTAAAAACAGAGAAACCCCGGGTAGTGCAAATAGTCAAGTGTTCACCTATTAACCAAAAAGTTAGCTGTTCAAATCACCCAGAGGTGTCTCAGAAAAGAGGCTTGGTTACCTACTTCACAATGGCTAGATTACAGCCATCGAAAACATCATAGAGCACAATTCTATTCTGAAACACATGAGATGGGCATGAATTGGAAACAACTCAACTGCAATTGGTTTGGATTTTTGCTTATATATTGGTATGTATGTATAAAAAAAAACCCAACCTACTATCATCAAGTAGATTTCTACTCATAGTGACCCCCATTGGGTTTCCAAGGTGATAAATCTTTACAGAAGTAGATTGTCTCATCTTTCTTCCACGGAGCAGCTGGTGGGTTTGAATCACCAACCTTCTAATTAGCAATCAAATGCCTTAGGCACTCACCACCAGGGATCCATATGTATCCATATATATGTATATGTTTATATCTATGCTCTATATTTATATAACAAAATATTTGACATTTCAAATTTTTTCAGTGTAAATTCAGTAACAATAATTACATTAATCATGTTGTGCAACCAGCACCACTATTCATTTCCAAATTTTGCCGTTACCCTTAACAGAAGCTCAGTATCTCTTAACAAATGCTTCCTTCTTTTCCTCCCTCTAGCTTCTGATGACCACTAATAAACTTTGATCTCTGTTGTTGTTGTTGTTAGCTGTCTTCAGATGTCTTCAGCTCCAACCCATAATAACCTTATGTGTGACAGAAGAAAACATTGTCAGGTCCTGCACTATCCTCATAATCCTTGCTTTGTGTGAGCCAGTTGCTGCAGCCACTGTGCCAATCCATCTCATTAAGGGTCCCCCTCTTTTCCTCTGACCACTTACTTTACCACAGATGATGTCTTTCTCCAATGATTGATCTCTTCCCAACAACATGCCCGAAGTAAGAAAGAAAAGTGTGAACATTCTCACTTCTAATGAGAAATGACTGTACATCCTGCTTCCACCAAGACAGATTTCTTCATTCTTCTGGTGGAAAATAGTATATTCAATATTTTTCACCAATACTTACAATTTCAATGTGTCAATTCTTCTTTGTTCTTCCTTTTCATTGTCCAGATTTTGTATGCATACGAGGCAATTGAAAATATCATGGCCTGAGTTGTTGTTGTTATTAGGCGGCATCTCAGTCAACTCTGACTCATAGCGACCCTGTGGACAACAGAATAAAACACTGCCCAGTCCTGCACCAGCCTCACAATCCTTGCTATACCTGAGCCCATCATTGCAGCCACTGTTTCAATCCATCTTGTCGAGGGCCTTCCCCTTTTTCACTGACCCTTCACTTTACCAAGCATGATATCTTCTCCAGGGAAGGGTCCCTTCTGACAATATCACCAAAGTAGGTGAGCCAAGTCTGGCCATTTTCACTTCCGAGGAACATTCCAGCCGTACTTCTTCCAGAACACATTTGTTAGTTCTTCTGGCAGTCCATGGTACTTTCAGTATTCTTCATTAACACCACATCTCAAAAGCAT